AGAACATAGAAGAGAAATAACGGAAAAAGACCAAGTTGTCCATCAACTCTTATCGGCCTTTATTTTATTTTTTTTCCTTTTTTAGTACAGATCACATGTGTCAAACACAAGGCCCGTGGGCTGAATATGGCCATCCAGGCCATTTCATGTTGCCCTACACCTCTCCTGCAGCTGTAGCACCTCCCTGCAATCAGCAGCACAGAGAAGGATGGAATTCCTCCTCCAGACCCTGCACCTTCTGCTTCCCAGCAGCAGCACAAAGTAAGGTGGGAGCACTTTGATGTAAGGAAGGATGGGGGACTCTTGACATCCGATGTATGCCTATAGCCGGCATGAAGAGGTTAAATTACATTGATCACTTTTTAAGTATATAATATAATGCATTCATCAGTGTTTTATTTATATATCTTATTGGAGGTCAGCTCTAAGCTTCCCTTATTTATTAAATATTCATATTTGCCCTCTTATTCGGCTCGGTCAAGGACCTACGTCTAGGTCGAGAATAGTTAGAAAGAAGATTTAAAGGCTCATTCACTCCATAGTGGCGTTTTTTTAACCTGCGCTTCAATGCGCTGTACTGTGCTGAACCATGCTACAATGCTTTATGAACACATGTTGCAGTGCATTTTTTTTAACTACTTAGGCCGTTGCGGCGTTTCATCTTCCTGACGTTCTCAAGAAGGTTTTAAATATTTCACACTATGGTAGTCTCCCTCTATCTCTCGCTACATGTTGTGTGAGACATTTAAAAGGAAAGCATGCAGCTGACCCAAGAAGGAGAAGGCAGATGGTGGTTATCCATGATAACTAAGCGCTGTATGACTAAGGTTGCCACCCGAACACATATTAATTACACAGGTTCTGAGGCCAATTTAATGCATGTAAGGCACGGTTCACACCTATGCAGTTTGCGTTTGACTTGTTTCTGCACTGTGCTTTACATTTTTGCACCCGTATTTTTGATGCGTTTTTAAAATTGTCTTTTTAAATGTTTAAATCTACCAAAAAAATGGGATCCAATACCCCTTCTGTCCATCAGATCGGGTCAGATGAAAATGGACAGGCGGTCTGTTTTCATCCGACCGCCCATTGATGAGAGCGAGCAGTCTCTGTGTCTGCTCTGCAGCAGCGGAGGGGGCAGAGAGGTCCCTAGGGTTGGTGTCACCCGGTGCAGTAACACGTGGCGTCACCCCTCCAGAGAGGAAGGAGCTGTGCTGGTGTAGTGGTTAAATGAGTATGCAAGATCAGTTAACCCTGTACGGGTTAAACCTATAGGGGGTTAACTGATTTTGAAACCAGGGGCGGACTGACCATTTGGAAACTCGGGCACCGCCCGAGGGCCCGGGGTCAGTAGGGGGCCCCATGAGCTGCCCCTGGTACCTTTTTCATAGGCTTTTTTGAGTTGGGGTGAGGACACAAGGGCCACCATGATCCCCTATTGCCCAGGGGCCCCATGAGTTGTCAGTCCACCCCTGCTTGAAACCCATAGTGATCTGCAGGATCAGCTTTAGCGGTTTGCAGCCTGTAAGGGGTAAACTGTGGCAGCTCTGTGCTAAAGTCGGAGATCGGCGATCAGCTTCTTCGGCCTGAAACCGGCACATGTGCAGTTGCTTCAGGGGATACATATCTTCACGGGTCCGGGATACTCATTTTACCGCTACACTGGGGGCAGCTGTTACTGTGCCGGGAATCAGGGTTCACCCCAATAACTGGCCAGGATCTTCACAGAGCCCAGAAGCTCTGCTGGCATCCTGCTCCTGCACCCCCTGTGATGGTGCCACCCGGTCTGGTCCGCACCCCTCTAGGGACGCCACTGGAAGGGGGCACAGAGCTGTCATCTGCTTGCTCAGCAGGGATCAGAGGAAAGATCCACCCTGAGCAAGCGGATCTGCTAAACGGGTCCGTTCCGTGTGAAAGAAGGACCCTAATAAGTTTGAAGGCATTCTTCATTACACTGAATAACAGAAAGCACTTGGACACTTTATATGCACAGAGAGACTTTATTGAAGCACAAACGACACTTTATTGAACCATCTTTAATTTTTATTTGAGGATATGAGCATTGTAGAGTATATGCTTGTTTATTGCACGTTGAAACAAAAAACACTAGTGCTGTATAAAAGATGGAGACAATTTTAATAAACAGCAAACCTTTTTTTAAAAAATAAATTAGTCACCAGAAATAGAACAAAAGCTTTTTTTTTTTTTTTTTTTTAAATCTTTCTAGAAGGTTGCAATAGTCAGCGACAGCTTGTCCACGGGGGACGCAGTCTGTAACGTAATGCAGGTCTGGCCACTGGAGGCCACTCTTGTTTCACTGAGCAGCTTCACTTATGACTTATCAATGAGCTCACTCCGATGTAGTAAAATACTATTTATAAAGCCAAATTTGGCAGAGCGCACTTCCAGTATAAAAATGATGACTTGCCACATAACACTCCCTCTAAACTCCTCACACACAAGCTGCTACCCTTTGGAAGGGATCCTGGTGTAAAGTACATTGAGTTTCAAAGTAGTTCTTGTGCTTGTTTCTTTGTTTGAAGATGTGTGCTCTGCATGTAAAACTGAGGAATAGAGAGAAGAGGCAATAGTCCTGATATTCAGCACAGACACGGGTTATTGCAGATGCTGGTCTCCCTTGAGGGACATACATTTGACCTGGAAAGATCAGCATTTCCTGATGCTTGATGGTTCAGGGCAAACTCCTGTCATAGAGGCTTAAAGGAGAAGTTTGGGGTGTATAAAATAAATAAATAAACACACATACACATCTCCATGCTGCAGCATCAGTCAGCTCTAATCCCAAGAACAGAGCGATCACATGACTGCTGATCTTTCAGTTCTAGATAGGTTCTGAGCAGATAGCAGAGAGCAGTGATTGTTCGTCACTCCCCTATTCCTCCCTATTCTAGCCCCTCCCCTCTACAAGCTAACAAACTGATTCCAGAGTGCACTGTCCACTGGTAACAATTTCCTGTGAAGACTGGAAGTCATAGGAAGCAGCACTGAGAGAGCAGGGACCCAACAACTTTGAGTTGTAAACTGTAAGTGCCGGGGTATAAAGTTTGACCAATAATTTACTGGGGAATATTTATTTTATTGTGCTGAGTGTGTTGTTCTAAAGGCAGAAGGTTTTTTTTTTCTTACTCTTTAAGTGGCTGTAAGCCATGAAATATGAACAAAGCATATCCCTCCATAGTGTGTACTTGTCTTAATTGAGAGCACTAAGTGTCATTACTGGCTGCTGCTTCATTCCATTGCCTGCTGCTTCATCAGCATGAATCACTTCTGACAAGTTTTCCTGACACCAAAAGAAAAATGGTGACAGGGGAGGGACCTTCAGCAGATTGACAGCCTCAGCTCTGTTCTTGTGTGCTGTGTGGAGGGGTTGTGTCCAGGGGCGGACTGACAACTCATGGGGCCCCCGGGCAATAGGGGATCATGGGGCCCCTGTGTCCTTGCCCAAACTCAAAAAAGCCTATGAAAAAGGTACCAGGGGCATCTCATGGGGCCCCCTACTGACCCCGGGCCCTCGGGCAGTGCCCGAGTTTCCAAATGGTCAGTCCGCCCCTGGTTGTGTCCCTTTCCTCCAATCAGCTCTCAGAGATCTCCGCATTGAGCCTCTGCAGAGTGTAACCTTAGCTCTCCGCCCCCTTTTTTTCTGAACTGTATAAAGCTGTATAAATTCAGCTCTTTGAACAAATGTACAGAAGAGGAGACTGCAGAAAGCACATACAACTTATGTAGGAAGATTTGTTTCATCTCTGTATCATTTGAGGCCAACCACTTTTACTGGACATATGTGAGAGTTTACAACCACTTTAATGCATTCTATACATTAAGGTAAAAAAAAAAACCTTTTTCATGCATCTTCCTCCCCTTTTCTGAGCCCGATCTCCATCCAGCAATGTGCACAAGGCTCTCTGCTCTCTCCTCTCTTCCCCTCTTCACTGGACCGAGCGGCAGCAGCGGGGGCCATTGGCTCCTGCTGCTGTCATTCACAGCCAGTAAGGAGAGAGTGTGGGGTTTAGGTCAAGCCGCACTCTGTGTGTAAATGGACACAAAGAGCCAGTTCAGGAGCAAGTATGCACGAGTGCCCCCATAGCAAGAATTCAGCAAGGAGGGAAGAGCCCAGAGCACTGATGGAGACCCAAGAAGAGGAGGATTGGGGCTGCTCTGTACAAAACCATTGCACAGAGCAGGTAAGTATGATATGTTTGTTATTTTAACCACTTCCCAACCTCCCTATAGCACAAATACTGCTACAGGGAGGCACGTGTGCGCAAAATCATGTATATACATGATTTTGCATTTCCGGGTAGAAGGCATGCGTGAAGCGTGTGCGCACCCTACCCATGCCACAATTTGCACCCATGGCTGTCAGTCACCAGGTCCTGCCCGTTGATTACTTGTCGGCGCCTGGTGATTGCTGAGCATCTCTCATGAGGAGGGGAACTGTTTGTAAACAAAACAGTTCTCTCTGTCAGCTCGTGCACAGTCAACCCTTTGATCATCCCACATGTTAACACCTTCCTGCCCAGTGCCATTAGTACAGTGTCAGTGCTTTTTTTTAGCACTGATCACTGTATTGGTGTCACTGGGAATGTCAGTGACACCAAGTTAGTTCCCCCCAGTGTCAGAATACCCGCCGCAGATTGCTGCCATTACTATAATAAAATAAAAATTCCAGTAACTATACCGCTATTTGTAAACGCTATAACTTTCACGTAAACCAATCAATTTACACATATTGGGATTTTTTTTAAGCAAAGACATGTCGCAGAATACATTTTGGCCTAAATTTATGATGAAATTTGATTTTTAAAATATTTTTACTGGACATGTTTAACTAGTAGCCGACCGCAGATAGCCGAATAACGGCTGCACTGCGGCCGGCCAGTTCTGGGTGGACGTCATATAACGTCCTCCCAGAACGCGCTCTCCTGCATGCCCCAGGGGGCGCACAGCCGGCGATCTCCATGATCGCTGTGTCCTACGGACACAGCTGATCACGTGATGTGGTAAAAGGCCAATCACAGCGGCCTTTTACCACGTGATCAGCGGTGTCCAATGACACGCTGATCAGAGGAAAATGCAAGTGCCGGTTCTCGGCTGCACTTTCCTCACGCAGTCAGATCGTGAGGAAAGTACTGCCGAGAACCGGCAGTTGTCAGAGCGGGGATCGGCACCGATCATCAGGGCACTGATGATCAGTGCCCTGATGATCGGTGCCCAGCAGTGCCGCCCGCAAGTTCCGCCCACCTGTGCCCAGCAGTGCGCCCACTAGCTCCGCCAACCTGTGCCCAGCAGTGCACCCACCTGTGCCCAGCAGTGCACCAACCTGTGCCACTCTGCAGTGCCACCTACCTGTGCCCAGCAGTGCCACCCACCTGTGCCCACCCACCTGTGCCACCCACCTGTGCCCACCCACCAGTGCTGCCCACCAGTGCCGCCCACCAGTGCAGCCCAGCAGTGCTGCCAGTCAGTGCCACCAGTCAGTGCCCAGGGGTTGTGCCAGTCAGTGCCGCCAGTCAGTGCCCAGCAGTGATGCCAGTCAGTGCCGTCTATCAGTACCCATCATCAGTGTCACCTATCAGTGCCGCCTATCAGTGCTGCATATTAGTGCCGCCTATCCGTGACACCTCATTAGTACTGCCTATCAGTGCCCTTTAGTGCTGCCTATCAGTGCCCATCAGTGCCGCCTATCCGTGCCCATCAGTGCTGCCTCATCAACGCACATCAGTGAAGGAGAAAAAATACCTGTTTTAAAAATTTTATAATAGAAACAAAGAAACTTTTTTTTTTTCAAATTTTTTACACTTTTTTTATTTTTAGCGCAAAAAGTAAAGCGCCCAGTGGCGATTAAATACCACCTAAAGAAAGCTCTATTTGTGAGAAAAAAATGATCAAAATTTCATATGGGTACAATGTTGCATGACCGAGCAATTGTCAATCAAAATGCAGCAGCGCTGAAAGCTGAAAATTGGCCTGGTAAATAAGGGGGTATAAGTGCCTGGTAGGCAAGTGGTTAATAGCAAAAAGTCAAAAATATTGTTTTTTTTTTTTTCCTCAAAATTGTCACCTTTTCTTTATAGCGCGAAAAAGTTAAAATGCACAGGTGATCAAATGCCACTGAAAGAAAGATCAATTTGTGGGGAAAAAAAGGACATAAATTTAATTTGGGTGCAGCATTGCATGACCGAGTGATTGTCAGTTAAAGTAATGCAGCGCAAAAAATGTCCTGGTCCGGGGGGGGGGGGGGGGGGGGGGTAAATTCTCTGGAGGGCAAGTGGTTAAAGGAAAAAAAAAAAAAAGGTTTATAATCACTTTAGGCAAAAAAAAAATATTGAGGGTTTATTGTGAGCATCAGATACAGCCAACACATTTCAGGGGAAAAAGCCTCTATCCTTCCTTCTTCAGAGCCTGAGCAGTGAATGCTATTAGAATCATGTTGGAATGCACTAGATCAGTGTTTCTCAATCTTTTCTCAATCAAGGCACCCTTTAAAATTATGGACAGTCCTGAGGCACACCTTTAAAATTATGGACAGTCTTGAGACACCCCATTTTAGAATGGGGTGCCTCAAGACTGTCCATAATTTTAAAGGGTACCTCGGGACTGTCCATAATTGTAAAAGGGCACCCCATTCTAAATGAGAAAAACTATTCTAATAGTTTAATATAATGCAGCAACATCCACACACATAGGACACCCAACGTTAGAGGTGATTATTCTTCCAAAGCAAATATACTTTTGCACCCTGGTACTGAGTAGTATGCCAACGTTTCTCTTCTCCCTCAGTTTTTCTCCATCACTGAGCTAATGTGACCCCAACACTGATGGAGAGGGGTAGGGAAGGGTCAAACCAGGATGCCGTGCAGGCAGCTGACATCCTCCTCCTGAACTGATGATGTCATTGGTTGTCAGGACACTAGAGGCTAAAAGGCCATAAATGGTGCACAATGAAAGCCTGCGACTTTGTGTAACTAAAAGGTAGGCTTGTTCCACCCGCTGGCTTGTATAAATGTTTTGGGCAATTTGTAGACATTTTGGCAAGGCATCCCTTAAGAATCCTCAAGGCACCCCGGGTGCCTGGGCACCCTGGTTGAGAAAGGCTGCACTAGAGGACCTATTTTAAAGCTTGATAAAGACCAGCCTCCTAGTTGCACTATTAATTGGATGACAACAGGTTTGATCCAGTGGCAGCTGCCCAACAGCTCATAGTCATCTGTCTTTCACATTTAACCCCTGAAAGCAAAGACATGAAGCCCACTGTAAGCTTCAGATCACTCTAGTTGGAGTAAAAGTAAAATAAAAAAAAAAAGAAAATGTAAAATTACCAATTGGGATATCTGTGTACCAAACACAGATTCAGCATTATAGAGAGCTTGAAGCAGTATTGAATTCAAAAGTAAACATTTATTATATTGCAGCTTACAAATTCTTAGATGTGACTGCTGCATTTTTGCTTTTTTTTAGGCTTTCTCTCTTTTAGTTTCCTCTGGTGATCCATCCAGTAAGTCTGTTGTTTTTTCAACAGAACAAGATGTTCTTCAGATATAACAGATAGAGGATTGGGACACCCAATCAGGAGTGACTACGACCATCAGCTTTTCTTTATTTATGCAAACCCTTTATCCCAAAGAGAAAAATAAACTGTTGTAACTGCTTATAAAGAGTTTGACTTAATTTTGTTAGATGGTCTAGCAGATGTACAGTAGATACACTAACACTCCTCTCCCCTTACCCCCATACCGACAATATTGCTGTTCAAATACAGGAGGTGTGTTACTGGCCAGATCGCCAGGTGAAAACAGAAGGAAAAATGCCTGAAAAACCAAATTAATGTAGCCACTACATCTAATAATTAGTAAGCTGTAAAATATTACATTTTTGATTTTGGGTTTAATACTGCTTTAATCAGATCAATATCAAGGCCCATGCTCACTACTAAAAAGTATATATTTTACTTTATGGTTGAATATAATTTTAATTTAGATTTTACAAATAGAAGCAGAGTAGACCAGGGGTGTCAAACTGGTGGCACTCCAGCTATTGCAAAACTACAAGTCCCATCATGCCTTTGGGAGTCATGTTTGTAACTGTCATTATTGCAATGCCTCATGGGACTTGTAGCTTGGCAACAGCTGGAGGGCTGCCAGTTTGACACCCTTGCAGTAGACCAAAAGGTACCAGGTAAAACAATAAACGTAAACCCCACAAACAAGGGAAGGACTGTGGGGGATCACATAACAGGTCGAATAGGAACAGCTCAAAAGATGTTAGACAGCATGATAATGTAGAGAGTCTGGAATATATAAATAGTATGAAGTAGGTCCAGTGGGATCCCACCATAGACATCATGTCAAGCTATAAACACATTTACGATCATTCAGGAAAAGAAGATATCCAGTTCTCTAACTCCCTATACTTTAAAGTGTATATGTAGCCAGGTGCATGGCTAGAGACAGAGAGGGATTTGGGAAACTGTGCTGCAGTACTCGCTGTGCTCCCAATGGACTTCAGAGGAATGGGTTCACATTATCTCGCCTCCATCCACCAGCAGGAGCTGACCTGCAGAAGGAGAACAAAAGACTTGATTGTGGGCAGCACTGAATCATGGGAGATGTAATGCAGGGGAAGGATCATGCTATGGGAGTCAATAGACTATAGAACTACAATTCCCAATGCAAGCCAGGTATTAAAAAAAGAGAGCCGTTTTTATCACAGACTGAATACCAGGGATTTATGCAGGCCATAGATGGGTCGAAAATCGGCCGATTTTTGGATCGTTAGTGGGCGATTTGGTCGGCCGTTTTTTTTTTTCGGTATTTTGGCCGTTTTTTTTGGGCAAAACGGCCGATTTTTTACCGATAAAAAATCTGCGCATGAGCAGTGACCTGCAAGAGGAAGACAAAAAGAAGAAAAAGAAGAAGAGGAAGAGGATGAAGAAGAAGAAGAGGAAGAAGAAGAGGATGAAGAAGAAGAGGATGAGGATGAAGAAGAGGATGAAGAAGAAGAAGAGGATGAGGATGAAGAAGAAGAGGATGAGGATGAAGAAGAGGATGAGGATGAGGAGGAAGAAGAAGAGGATGAGGATGAAGAAGAAGAAGAAGAAGAAGAAGAGGATGAGGATGAAGAAGAAGAAGAGGATGAGGATGAAGAAGAAGAAGAAGAAGAAGAAGAAGAGGATGAGGATGAAGAAGAAGAAGAAGAGGATGAGGAAGAAGAAGAGGATGAGGATGAAGAAGAAGAGGATGAGGATGAAGAAGAAGAGGATGAGGATGAAGAAGAGGATGAGGATGAAGATGAAGAAGAAGAAAAAGAGAATGAGGATGAAGAAGCAGAGGATGAGGATGAAGAAGAAGAAGAAGAAGATGAGGATGAGGAAGAAGAAGAAGAAGTAGGATGAAAATAAGAAGAATTCCAGTCCAGCAAAAAGTGTCTCTGCAGAGAGCTCCGCTATTTCTGACGGTTCCTTCACATTTACAGCGGTTGAAACATTGTATCTATTTGTTTCCGAATAAAAACATCTGTATCCTAAATGGAAACAAATAGATACAATGTTTCAACCGCTGTAAATGTGAAGGAACTGTCAGAGAACTGTCAGAAATAGCGGAGCTCTCTGCAGGGACACTTTTTGCCGGCTGTAGAAGGGATGAAAATCGGCGATTTTTTTTACCATTGATGGTAACGTTGGCCACGTGAACGACCGATTTTTCATTTTTTAAAAGAAAAATCTGCCGTTTTTCTCCTCATCTATGGCCTGCATTACCCTTTGGCTGCGAGTAGACCAGGTGTGCACATTGCAGCTCCTGCTACAAATCTGCAGCCACGTGATGAGAACTGGAGTCATTCCAGGCAGATACAGAAGTGAGCTGACATCTGAACAGTGACACCCCTGTTGCTGTATTGCTGGGACTGGTGAGAGGACATTGCTGCCATTAACCTGTTGCTGCAAGCATAGATTGAGCACATAGTGATTGACCATCTAACTCAGCCTTTCTCAACCTTTTCAACACAGAGGAACCCCTGAAATAACTTTCTGGTCTCAGGGAACCATTGCAAACAAAATTACTCTGTCAAAAACTCATGATACAATAGTGTGATGGTCAGTGGGAAAAATGTTCCTAACACTTGTGTCATTGGGAAGAATTCCCCCCTTATAGATAGCTAAAAAGATCATTGGTATCAGTAGACCTTTATCTGAGGGTCAGAAATTTCCCATTGCTCAAGGAATTCCCAGCAACCTCTGGAGGAACCCCAGGGTTCCACAGAACCTTGGTTGAGAAACCCTAATCTAACTAGTAGCAATATTTACTACACGCAGACTTTACTGGGAATTGACTTATGTGTACCACTGTAATGACTGGGCCCCAATGCTAGCTGGCTGAAGAACAAGGGCTAAAGACTGCTCACTCAGCTGCTTCACAGAAACTTTGTCTACTGTCCGTAGTAAGAGTTGCTTCTTTAGTGAGTCTTAAATTTCATAGCTGCCATATAAAGTGCTCCCTAAAGTGGCTATAGCCTACTGTTGACAGAGGCATCATCACAGTGTTGATCATCATTGCTGTTACTGTTTTCTAATGCCATTACCTATTGCTGATTTTGTGGATTATCAGGCTTACTCTAATTTAGCTGCATAAAACTCCATTCTATTCTTCACTAGACTAGTGGACATATTGTCTAGTGAAATGTGATTGACCTAATCCTTTACTTATTAATTTATGTGCATACTGCTAAATACTGCAACTCATGACAATAGATTGAGTTTATTTACCATTACACAGTCTGATGTTTGCTTTTTGATACTACAGGTTATCTATATTTATGCCCCCAGTATCGTGCAGTATCCATATGCTTAATCTGGTGTGTCAAAGGGGCTGAGGTTGTTCTCAGAGTAAAGGCAGAAGAACAGGGAACCCAATCTTCCAAAATGTTGCTGCGGGGTAGTGCTACATATGTATAGTCAAAAGTGTTTCTTTTTCTTTTTTTCTTTCTAGTTTTGGATAGAGTTAGGTTAGGTTAGATCCCCTGTCCTGCTCTTTTTCCCTTCTGTGTGCCTGTAAGGGAGATCCACTGTTTCTGCCTTGGTGTCTCTTGTCACCTAAGAGGTGAGGGTAAATCATTCAATGAGAACACATTATGTGATGACAACTGTCAAAGTGGGGAACTCCTATCACTTCTCCTTGCATCTCCAGGACAGGAAGTAGAGAGAAATCTCCAACGGGAAAAGGGGGCTTTCTCCAAAGCTAAACAAAGTTTATCCTATATTTACAATGTAAGCAAATAAACAGCATGTCTTGGCATAAGGCTGTGGCATTGACATTTGAAGGCATCAGAGCAAAGATGTTAGCATTAACCGTAGGCACTGCTGACCTCTCCCCACCTTTCCTCCTGCCCCGATTAGAAGAACATGAATTTTACTGCATTCCTCTGGACGCTTGAGGCACCTAATAGGTATTTCTGAAAAGAGAGGAAGTTGGCTTATTTAGGTCATGACACAAATCGAAATGTACAATTTACAACCAACCTTGTTTTTTTCTCCTAGCATTGTGTTGTTCCAGTCTGTAGTTTCACTCCTTGCTTTTTGCAGACTCAGCGGTATAATGCTTTGTGGCCTTTAATTGAAATGATATTTCACCTGACATTCTGAAACTTTCCCATGAATCTTTTGCCCTACGAACATATTGAATTATAGGTTTTGCCACTATTGA